AACGGGTCACATAAATTTTCTGCTCAGGACATTCTTGGGGAGAAAGCACAGCTGGAGAAAAGTGTTGTCAAAGTTAGTCACTGTTTTCAGATGAGTTTACATCATCAGGTTAATGTAAGCTCCTTTACTGAGCCACAACTCAATGCTTTTCCACTTGTGTTTGCCAAACACCTCATGCTCCCATTCATGGGCTGTAAAAGGCTTCCTTCATTCAGTCTGGGCAATTTGTTGGTAGCTATTAAAAATAGCTATTGAATTCAAAACTCGTGAGTTCCAGTCCTCTTTGTCACTGGCCGGATCCTCAGGCAGGCAAATTCAGATTCCCCATTATCTTGCAGCTTGTGTAGTCATGTGTATTGATACTGTGTGAATACCATTTCTGCATTCCTGGTTCTAGAATGATTCTGAAAAGGTCTGAAAAATTGGTGTCAGATAAAACAAAGGGCTGGGAAGATGCAGCATTAGTATAAAACACAGGGAATGAAAGAAGAAAATGGGGCCTTTTGAACCATTTAAATAGGCTCACATAAATTTAATTTTTCAAGGCTTCTTAAATCATTTGAATGTACTCCTATTACTAGTAAAATTCCAGTGAAGGCAGGAGGTGACAAACATGCTGATGTAACATATGACTTGTAAATGAAAAGGGATTTATCACTGTAGAAAATCTGTAAAATGGGACTAACTCCCTTTTCCCCAACAGGTCCTTGCTACAAACACATTCACCCTTCAGATCCTCAGGTTTGCAAGTTGCAAAAATTAAGCAGCACTGGCTCATCCTGCCTGCAACCCTCAGTGCAGCTCACACATCCGTAGATGTTGTAATCTCAGAATGACGACTTTAATTTACAAAATGAAATAGGCAATGATACTGGTTTTTCAATGCAGTAATACTGGACAACACATTTATATGTGTATGAGGCACATGCATTATTTATTTAGCAATGACCTCCCTGGGCTGGAAACATTTCATGTTTTCAAAATAGCAGACTTAATGAGAGATTTATTAAACTTATTTGGTGATGTTTCTAAGACAGTCATCAGCTTATTTTATATTTTTTTGTTAATTTTTCATTCTTCCCATTGGTAACTACAGTTTCCACTAATGGATAAAATAAGCAAATGTCATGTTTTTGGTGAAGTAAAATGTGGCAGATTGCATAGGTGCAGATGAAATATTTATACACTGCACTGGCTCAAATGAGTTGGAACATCCCGTTGATGCTGATGGCCTTCCGTATCCTAATTTCAGAGAACTGAGCACTCTAGTGGTTTCAGGTGTGGTGATGGAGCGAAAGCCATAGACTGACTCTTCAGGGAAATGGGTACAAAGCAATTTTCCCCCCAATTCCCTCTATCTTTCTCTTAAATATAGTCAGTCCTCTTCTGCAGTAAAAGACTATGTTGTGTAGATTGGTGTGTATACCTCTACTATTTATTTATTTAATGGTATAAATAATTATCTTATTTGAATTAGGAAGATGACCAAAAATCTATTTTCTCTTTCTTAATTTATTCTATTTTTTTATGGGGGTTGAAAAAAATATTCCATATTTCCATGAATATTAATGAATTTGTGGACAAAATAAGCTATTTAAACTAGCAAAGGACATTCTCAGCTAACTGAAAATTTCAAAGCTATATAAAGAAGGAAAGAAAAAGCCTTCACTTGGACTATAAATCTTCAGTCCCTGGACCAGCAGATGAACTAAATGAGTTATATATAGAGCTCTACTCCATTTATGGAGAATACTTCTGATAAAGATCTGATCATTCCCAAGGAAGAAATAAGGGGCTTTTCAAAACCACTCACAGTAAGTTATTTCTTATCAAGTTAATGGTCTTATCCTTGTCGGATTCTGAGCACCTTTATTTTTCAATAACCCCAGTAGGAGCTAAAGACATGAGACAAATAGCAGGCCTTCCTTTGACATTTGCAGGACAAGGCCCAGCCATTTTAAAAATTACTTGAAACCCCAATGCAGAGAAGAGTACTTTGTATTTCCCACAGAGGAAACACTAAATACATACTCCATAAAAGTGAAAAAGATCATTAAAGAATTAAGACTCTGGTTAATATCTCCATTACAATTCTTGCACAGAAGAATTAGGTATGGTGGTTCCTTATGTGTTTTTTTAGTAATAGGCTACACAAGGAAGGATTTCCATTAAGCTAATAAAAAGACCTTTACATGTACTTGAAGGGAATGTCACGATGCCCTGTGAGCTCAGGGATGGAATGCTACAACGCAAACACCCTCATCCCTGCTTGCTCTCAGCCTCACTTGTGCACAGACACACCAAGGACCCTCGTTCTTTCACCTGGAGAGCTGACCTTCAAAATATAAATGGTTAGCTTGCCCTGCTAGCATGCTTCCTCACTCACTGGCTTAAACAGATGCTACAGATTGATTTGTCCCCTGATCACTGTTGGAGTTGCTGACTGAAACACTGAAGGCTAACAGCTTTTTAATTGAGTTCCTTGGTGTGACCACCTGTAAATTGTTTTAACCTTTTTCAGCTTAACCTTCTTCACATGGACTGTCTAGGTAATGCAAAGCTGTCACCAACTGTGTCTTTATGCATCCAGAATTGAACAAGAAGTGCAAACATGTATGTTGGATTTAAATCATTTTGGAACCAGTTTGGAGGCTGCAATGTAAAGCCAAGTTCACCAGTATCCTCAGTTGCCCTTGATGGCCTGCAAGCCTAGGAAAGGTCCCCAGCAGACAAAGTATATATACGCACACACATATATACACACAGACATATATACATAGGCTACATATATATAGCCCTTAAGAAGGTGAAACAGCATAATGTATATTTCCGTTAGAAATGGGGGGAACTTCTTCATTGACACAGCCCCCTCATGGAACTTATCATGTATTCATTACAGTAACTAGTGCTAAACCAGATGCTCCAGTAAATCTCTGCCTCCTTCACTCTCACAATTAGGCAGCCTTTTGCAGCCAAGCTATATAGAAAATTTACTAAGGGTATACAGTTCTTACTAGCACTTGAAAAAGAAAGGTATGCAAGCTGTTCAGAGCTGGATTTGCAAAGCATGGCTTGTTTCTCCCAGTGACTACCTTACTGTTGGTATCATTATTTGCATCAGTGTCCATAGACTCCAAAGAACTTTGAGCACTGCAATGACTACTGTGATGTTAGGTATTTTCTCTATGTATACGTGTAATTAATACACAAGGTGAAATACTCAAAGGCATTAAATGAACAATTTGCAAAGGGTGCCATGTGCAATTTTCAAAAGCTTCAAAGTAATTCAGATATGTAATTAACTTAACTGGAAATTAAAATCCTGACTGCAAATTCCAGTAGGGATCTATCAGCATCTTTAAAGCCTAAAGAAAATATAAAATCTGGCATATTGTTACTGACACAGAGATCTGATAATTTCTTCAGACTAAAGAGAAACAATAATTCAAAGAAAATCTAAACTGCCTTAAATGAAGAAGTATCACCTTCCCTCAGTTGAACTTCAGTGGCTAGACTCATAGTTTCTCAGACCAGGTATTTAAATGCTGGCAGATTTCTTGAGATAGTACAGAATATTTCTGAAGAGTTATAATTTCCCCCCAAAATCTGTAAGTTTGAAAAGAAAAGTCTTTTCTCTCTTTCAATATATAATTATGTAACTATTTCTATATGCATATGTATAGTGAATAGTTTGTGTGTGTGTGTGTATAAGCTGGTTGACTGAAAGTGTAGCAGAAGAGGTGGCTTTCTTTACACCAGTAAGCTTAGTGACTGATGTAACTTGGAAGTTCATAAGATGTGTATTTCTTCTTGCTATGTACATACATAGAGGTTCTTCTTTTCTGCTGAAAACTGCACACGTTTTGTTCTAGTCATCCAGCCAAATGCTTATACTTGAAGTGAATTTATGTCTAAGATGCACAACTAAATACAGAGATTAAAAGCAAGAATTAATATAAACTATATTTCCTCCTTTGTACTTAGTTATTTTTTTGTGTATTTCTTGCTGATTATCTCTTTAAAAAATTCTAATGTTTCTGTCTCCATAAATTAGTCCAGCACTCTGCAAGTTAACACTTTTACTCAAGCAGAGGACAAAATCTTTTCTTGCTTAATGGACCCAAAGGAGATGAAAAGTGAAGTACCTGAATTCATGAGTACGTTTACAGTCATAAACCCTTCATTACCAGGGTAATTTTGCACACCCAGTACTTCAAGAGATTAAAAAAATAAATAAATTACACTGAGTGAGCTGTTGCCAGGGTGACAGAAATGAGATGATGTGTGAAATGACTGAACTGAGGTGGTAAATGATAAGAAAACAGATTCATGACTGACAGCATGTCTAGAAAGGGAAAGGCCTGATTATAGGTGTCTAGGGAATCTCATCCCTCTCTTCCTTTCTCTGCTCCTCATAGAGGTAAGTCTCCAACCCATAGGAGACTTATCAGTATGGAAGTTTGAGATTCACGCTATAAATGAATTACACTGACAACGGTTTTCTCTGTACTAATCTGAAGTATAAATGATGATAGCTCTAAACTGAGAACCTCTGTCCCTCTCTGAAGTGAAAATAACAGAGCTGTGAAGCAGAGCCCATGACACCTAGAAGAGGGAATAAACTCTTTTACTGTGTTTCCTTCACACTCAGAAAGACAATATTTGGAAGCCTCACTCCATATGCAGGTTCAGAATCCTGGTATGCATGAGTGAGTATGTTTCATCATGTATTTATTGTTTAACACTTCTGATATTTAGAAAACAATGCCATTTACTGCCAAGACTTTAAAGACATTTATATAAAGGTAAGAGATGTCCTTTGTGCATGTTTGTTCAATATAAAAATACAGGCACAGATATGGTTTTCACACAAGGTACAAAAAATTAAATAAAATTTAGCTGTACTAAACCAATTCTGATTTTTATTTTGAATGGCATCAATCTAAAATAATATTACCACTTACTTATATAATTTCCTGTATAGAAAAGGAGAAACATACCTTATGATGGCCAGCGATTGTGGCAATGTGAAGGGCTGTCAAAGCTCCATACCCAACTTGCTGAATGTCAGCTCCACCATGCAGCAGCGCTGTTAACAGTTCTGCATTGTCCTAAAAGGTAGGCATTTAAAAAATGTTATTTCTGGGAGACAGCTCTAACAGTTGCAGAGAGGGAGCCAGAGCGAGCTATGTATGTCTAGGCCTCCACTGCTGCATTTCAAGAAAAGGCACTGGTCATGACCCCAGGAACACAAGAGTGCAAGGAAAGGTGCTAAGGGAAGACTTTTCCTGGGCACCAGAAGTCTCTCTTTTGCTGTACTAAAGCCTGTATCTTTAAAAACCAGTCTCTGTTCTGATTTTATGATATCTTTAAAGATATCTCAGTCTCCAAGCCATTATTAAGTGCTCACACACATTGTTTAAATGTCAAAATGTTACAGTATCTAACATGGAAGAAGGGCACCTGAGGAGTTCTTAGGATAAATATATAGTATGTATGCCAGATTCTGAACTGAGAGCTTATTTTTCATATTGTTTCACTTCTTCCCTGTCATGCACATAATTTTTGCTGTGACTTCTTCCAGGTATAACAGCAGCAACGGGCACTAGCAAATGATAGCAAACGATAGCAAATAAACTTGACAAACACGTTAAGAGTCATAATGCCCAAGAAATATGACTGTTAATAAATTCTCCATTACAAATAGTGAAATTAAACACAGAGAAGTGAAATTATTTATTTGGGAGCAATGGCAGAACTCACAGGAGAAACCAGGCCATCTTCCTCACCATCACTTGTTCTAACTGCATCAACTAGAGCTATCATAATTTTCACTTCTTGGGGGTCTGCCTTCCATGATCATCCAGCCCAGAGATGAGCCTTCAATTAATTTTCATTCTGTCCTAAGAAGAAATGCACACAACACAGGGGCAAAAGAGATGCTAAAAGCTCCAAACTTCCTCATTGTTCTCTGCCTCTTCGAAGCAGACACTGAAAGAAGGGCAAGAATGAATAAATGCCAGAGAAGCAGCAGTTAAAATATGTTTGTGAAAGCATAACATTTGTTCATACTGAAATGGTTTTCCTATTTCCAGGAAATATTAGGAATTTCTCTTGGATAATAATGGATGGTAGTAGTTTATACCTCTTTTCCCATCAAATAGTTCTTGATCATGAAGCATGGTAATTGGCTGCATAATGGATTGGACATTATGCAGCCTGGGAAGACAAGCTGAGTTTTAATTATCTAGAAATGCTCTGTTCTAACTCGGTCCAGTTTTTTAAGTTCTGTTTCACTATTATGAAATGCCAAAAAATATCAAAATATTCAGATTATAGATAAGAAGTCAAGGAGTTTCACAAGAAGTTGCCCTGTCTCAATATACATTGCTTTATTGTTTTTGAGGTATCTCTAGGCTCCTTTATATTTTACTTAGGAAAGAACTATAATACAACAAAAGCTGTCATTGGGTAACTCATGGTAAATCTAAAAGTCTTAAAACATCACTTATGGGAGAAATGTTATATTGCATTTTATTTTAGATCCCAAATTTCACACTAGCTTGCCTATCTTTGTGCAACTTGAAAAAGATATTGGATATCATATCACTTGAGTAATTAAGTAAGTTGCTGATGTAGTTTTTTGCCTAAGTGGATGCAAGAGATTTATCAACTTCACTGTGCAGGAAAACAGACAAAACAAAATTTGATAGCAAAACTAAAACTATTCTCAAGTAATGGAAACATCCTAGAAATATGTTATAAAAGTCTTTTTAAACAAAGGAATTTTTATTTTCAACTAAATTATTAATTGGAAACCATTCACTGAGATTGACGTTAAAGAAAGGCAGAGAAATTCTTTTTAAGTCAAGTGGCTAATTATGCAATATTGTGCATGGGGAAAAGTTTCTTTTATGACTGCTATAAACCATCACTTCATCCTATGATGTATAAGATTTCATTATTGTCATAGTTTTATAGCTTGCATAGTTAATTGGTACCAGTGGTTGTAAATTTAAACTAACATAGGAATTCCAAGACATAATGCAAGATATAACAAGTGCGCATATTACAGTAACTGGGAGAGGAAGGTAGCTTATGCTTCAAATATACAGTTAAGCCATAGAGATGCATGAGGCATCCACGGCATCCACAGCATATCATAACTTCTAGGTATCTGGCTCCATGATTGAGTCTTCAGCCTGTTTAATGACCACCTGTCTACACACACCTGGAGCAAGTTCAGAGTTCCAGTGATGGGATTCATAAAATCCAGCATTTGGAGAAGGAAATTGGCTCAGCTTGTCCATAGCAAACATCGGAAATAGGGGTGTGTCTTTCTTCCAGCCTTCAGACAAAATTACAAAAGCTTCTGCTTGCATCTCTTCTTTCTTTCCACTCCTACCCTCTTCTACAAGGGCTAAAGCATTGCTGCATAGGCAGTTCAGTGTCTTGCTCGCACAAATAATAATCATGACTGTATGCCACATGTCCCAGGCAATACTGTCATTACTCAACCTATGCTAGGCTTTCCCTGCACTCTCCCTGTCCTAATGATCCTCCTGTCCATTTCCACGGGAAAGCTGATTGCATGCTCGCTCCAGGACAGCCATAGCTTGCTCATTCGCAATATGAGTTTGAATTCTCTTGAAGAGATACTTTGGTCTTGTCTCTGGACAAATATTCTAATTATCAGATTATTACCTAATAGAAGGCTAACCATCTCCTCTTCCACAAGAGAGCTTTTGGAGGAGAATGACTGTGACTGTGATGATTCCTGCCGCATTTGGAATTGG